GCAGGGAGCCCGATGCGGGACTCGATCCAGGGACTCCAGGATCATGACCTGAGCCGAAGGCAGTCGCTTAACCAACTGAGCCACCCAGGCGCCCCAGCTATGTCTTCTTTAATGTAGCATAATAAGTAATCTGCTTGTGACAAGGAACCATTTATGAGAAACTCAGGAACACATGAGTTATGGTGGTCCTTGATCAGTATCAGTCTTCTTAACGCCCCTTTCTTTGAGGGGATGGCAGACTGCCATTGAGCATCTCCTCTCCCTTGCAGGGCTGTGGGAGGCAGTGTGGGACAGTAGTTCATGGCTCGGGTTTGAGATGGCCTGATCTTGCATCTCTTTGCGGGCTCTTGGTTACATTCCTCAACCTCTCTAAGCCTCAGTTTCTTCTTTTATAAAATGCGACTAATAATTTCTTTTTCACAAGGCTGTTGTAAGGGTTTGAATTAGTATTGCACACAAAGAGGTTAGCACAGTGTCCAGCCCATAGGAAGAACCTGACAAATCCTAATGTTATTATTCTTGATAAATTTAGCCCACCATTGTTCTTCAGTATCCATAGTTGTTCCTTTAGCAGCACTTGGTTAAATTATTTCTCCCGATCTTGATTATCTAGGGGCACTTCTAGAAATACTGGCATTCAGAGTTTCTGAAATAATCATCTCCGTATAGACAATTGAATAGAGTTCAGAAAACCATCTATTTGAGAACGGACACTTCAAGAATTTCCCTGTACTTTGGCATGAAGTATATAAAATGTAAGCTAGGTTATGTCTATCTTACTGATGATTGAATCCAAAAGAAAGGAATTAAATTCTTATTATATGCACCAGGGAGATAATGGATTCTTAATCTCTCTTAAATCATGAACAGTGTGAGAATCTGATAGACCCTACAAGCCATTCCTTCAGAAAAATGTCATATACACACAAGCAATTCTGCATCTAGTTTCAAAGAAGTTCATGAACTGCTGGAAACTCATCCATGTTATTTCAGAGCAATCCATGAAGCTCCTGCTTTAAAACTAACCTATTAAAAATTAACTGAAGTTAATGAGGCTAGATGATTCTTAGATCATGTTCTCCTTGCACAGAAAAAAGTTTGAAATTTTAGAAATCAGAGGTTACAATTTTAAATTTTTCGGTTCTTACATGAAATTAATATTATATCTGTTCAGTGAGATGGGTGTTTCTATTATACCGGTCACTAGACAAGGATGGCTTAGGCCTGGCTAGTTACATTTACATGCATCTGATAGGTGTTGGGTAGAGAAGACTTAAAATTTTAAGGATTTTTTTTTTAATAGTTCCTTGGAACTAACAGCTTATATCCTCAAATCATAAATATCCTAAGACTATTTTACCACCTCTATGAAACTGCTTGCCTTCGTTGAAACTTATTTTCTTCTACTCTGGACTTTTCACCACCAAACTCAACAATTCATGTTGGATGATCTTTATTTGCTGATACCTTCAATTTCAAATCAGAGAATCTTATAAAGGAAAGAGGTTTGAAAAAAATGGTATGATTCGACCCCTCCATTTTCTAGATGGTAAATTAAGCCCTCAATTGGAGATTAACTTGCCTAAGGTCACATAGCTAGTGATATGCCTAGAACTTGAAGCCATGTGTTCCCTGCACTTTTGAGTGCTTAGATTATTTTTCGCTGAATCCAAATTCAAGGATCTGCTGATGCCATTTTCCCTTGTGTTCATAGACTCTGCCCCCTCTCCATTCCCTTCCTGTTACAAATAAACTCACATTCTGAACTTAGCTCTTCTGCTGGGCGCCAGAGCTTCCAGTGTCCCTGTTTCTGACTGAGCCCCTGGATTTGCTCTTCCCTTACCAGACATCTTCCCAGCCCCTCCAAGTGGGTGAATTCTTGGTACAAACCTTGCTAGGCCTGTCTTTCTTAGCCACTGTGGCCATCTCATAGCTGAGATACCAGGACAAAACTATAACTCCACAGGTGGCCCCAGGGCTCTTGGATCTATGTTGGACTCTCCAGAACAAAGACTTAGCAACTTCGGGGGTTTTCCAGCTATGGCAGAGGCTAAGGTATTCTATTTTTCTGCTATTATGACCCTTGTCTACTGAATATGACATGAGAATGCTTTGTTCTCTCTCTAGAGAATATAGATATTCTTCTAGGATAACCTTCTTATTAGGAAGGATAATAGTAACTTAGAAATTTCACCACTTCCTCTATCATGCAACCATAGCATCTGACTATATGTTTAAAGTGTTCTCACCACCAGAAAGCAGAAACAAGGACAAATAAAAAGCTGTGGGTACACAGTGTGCATCAGTTAGATTTGTTTTCCCTCTGTATTAAGAGGTGGACTATTGGGTAACCAATATGAGGAACAAAATACTGTTAAATATACTGTTAAATCCCTTTTTAACATCACACACTAAAATTCGAGGGGAATTTAAACTTATATATGGTAAAGGAACCATAATAAAAGGCATATCAATAAATGTTTATCGAATTTGGGGTTGTAAATGTTTTTCTGAGCATGAAAGCAAAGGAAAATGCCTTAAAAGGACAGACAAATATAACTGTACACATACTAACTTCATTGCAATAAAAATTACTTATAAATAAAATTAAAAGGTAAATGTCAAACTAACCAAGCATTAATAACTTCTTGAAACTAAGGCCATAAAACAAAATCAAGGTCATAAACGAGCAATCACAGATGACAAATGGCCAAAGAATATAAGATACTGAGCTTCATTGCTAGTGAAATGAAAGCATATAAAGTTGAGATACCATTTTCTCCTATCAAAATAGCAAACATTTAAAAGATGATAAAAGTAACTTTGGTAAGGAAACTGGCGCTTTTACACATACAGAGTTGGTGGGAAAATAAAATGATAAAATCTTCCTGAACAGTAACTTGTCAATGTGTACCAAAATCATTAAAACATGCACACCCTTTGACCCAGAAATTCTAATCAGGGGTGTTTGTCCTGAGGATATTACCAATATTTATGGATGAAAGAGGGTATCTAAACATAACTCAATGACTTTAATATAATTTGCATTTATATAATGAGATACTACAAAAAGATAAAAATTCTGTTTTTAATTCTCATGTCCTCTGAGATGTTAGATCAGCTCTAGGACTGGGCTTATATAATCTGGAAAAAAAAAAAAGGAAGTTCTATAAGCTTGTTGTTCCCAATACTACCCACAGGAAGTTATCTGCACCAAGTCTCTCCTGGTGGGAAGAAACAGAAGTGAAAAGACCTTGCAGCTGAGTGGGAGGGAAATTGGGAGGAAAGCATGAATTTGTAAAGGTCAAGGAACATTGATTTAGCCATGAGAATGTGCTCTTAAAAGATTATAGGGTAGATTTTAAAAAATTGCAATTATGTGTATGCGGAGGTCCCAATTTTGTAAGATATGTGTGTGTTAAATCTACATTGGGATGTTAACAGGAAGAGAGCTTATTTTTATGATTATTTTTTATAGTTTCCTAAGTTTTCTATTGTAACCATAATTCAGAAAACAAGATATGTTGTTAATAAGAAGAAGGAGAGGCAGCAAAGGTGATTACAAGTTTCCTGGACCTTACTTTGCTTCCAGCGCTAGAGCGAAGATGCCAGCAGCCAGGGGTGCCGAGGCCGAGGTGCCCGTGTGGGTCTCTGTGCAGTCGTTGTGCAGGTCAGCACTTGTCTGGGTAGCATCCGGAGGGAAAGAAATGCGGGAGAACATGTGAGGAGGGTGCCCCTCTCCCTGGGGGTTAACCCTACCTATGGCCGCATCTGCTATGATCAGGAAATTCAGCTGATTCGCTTCCCTACTTCCTCCTCTAAACCACAGGCGGATGTTTGCCATCTGCTGATATTTTAGTTCATGCTCCTCTATATGCAACTTGTCTATAATTCTGGCATCAGACTGCCTTTTCTGGGTCTGAAGTACTCCCACTATGAATATTTTCTCTTCTGAGTTTCCCAAACGAAATGCTGTCTGTGAAGAAGGGACAGTTTCAAAATCACTGTGAATCATGCTGGCCCATTAATCATCAGGTCCATTGTGTGTGGTCTGGCATATTTAGAAATTCTGCCTCATGCAAAATTCCCTTTTGCCTTCAGAATTGACATTTGACTGTCTTCGGCACAAGGATGGAAAACCGTCTGATTTGGGCCACTTGAGCTACTTGCACAAAATGTGTTCAGTGTGTAGTTTGCGCTCACTGTTGACATAATTTGATGGCCCTGAGTTAGCATATTTGCACTTCGGTGAAAATGGTGTTTTTCAACCAAAGAGTGTGCTAGACTCTGATCTGGTTTCAAATTGTAAAACTGCTACTCAGTAGATGTGTCCCATGGGCATGTCACTCGGTTTCCCCATCTATAGAATGAGGTTGACATTTCCTGACTCATATTCTGAGGTCGAAATGAGATCCTGTCTGTGAAAGCATTCTTACACAATATTACTGCATGTAAGGAATTACCCGGGCTAATGTTAGCTTAATGAAGAGGTTGCCAAGACTGAAGGGAAGAAACCAAAAAGACTTCCAATCAGGCTGCCTTAAGGACCACAGTGGTGCTGGTTGAGCAAGTCACCGGGCCAAAGGATTACTAACAAGACACCCACCCGGGCTCCCACATTATCATTTTTAGCTAGAGATTTCAATGTGTGGGAGGGAGGTGTAAAAAAATAATTTGTTCTATTATCACCTCCTTTGGCTTCCCACTTGGAGTCGCTGAATTTCGCAAGTTATGGTGGCACTGCTCCTTAGAGGGCTGAGGAAGCAAGGCTGCTCTTTTTCCCTACTGACGCACGTAAGCCCCCAGAGCTGACTGAGCTGAGGATGGGGTTTGCGTAAGACAAAGGCTATGTTATTGCCAGTGTCTCAAATAGAATCCACCAGCTGTCGCTCCTCTGGCTGACTTACCTAAGGAGAGATCTTTACGAAGATGGAAACTTCCTCGGGCTTCAGAGTGCAGTAGCTCAGCTGAGGGCCAGTCTGTGCAATGCTGACTGAAATGCCTACCAGGCCATTTTCTGCAAAGCAACTTTAGACACCCCCAGGGGCTCTGAACACAAGGGGGACACATGTCTGATACGCCTCTTTCAAAGGCTAACAACTACTCCTGTCGTAAACAATTCCTGGAGAGAACATCACCATCTATTATTTGAGTAATTGAATTGGGCATGAGAAGGGGGCCAGTGCTTTTAAGTTGAGCCTAGGGTTTTACCATCTAAACTAGAGTGAGTTGCAGAAATGGGCAGAGTTCCAGAATAGTGATCTTGTATGAAAAAAGAGTACTGACAATTTTCTTTGAGATGCCATTCCTAGGAATTTTACACACATTCCAATGTCTAATTATTATGGGGTTCACCCACACTCTCATTGAATCATGACCTATTATTCCACTGAGATTACAATGTACAGGCTTTAGCCAGCTGGTTCTTTCTACATCAGGAGTTAAGTTTGGGGCCATACATTTTAGAATTAGAAGTCCCTCTCTTTGCTCTCAGAGCCCCCGGATGGCCCTTCATCACTGTGCCCTTGAAGGGAAATCCAATAATTGCCCTTGGCAGTCTGACTCATAGAAGTGAAGGCACAGCCAAGTGTGGGCTAGAGATGCTCTCTGAGTATATAACCTTCCCGAGCTGTTTATTCAGACGCTGAGAAGTTCATCTTGGGGGAAATTTAGACTGTTATTTTCCTGCAGGTCATCCATTCTTAGGAGATGTAGCTAGTGTATGCTCTGTATTTTTATCATCTGCTAAAGGGCAAGTCAGACAATATCCCTGCTATTAAAGGATCACCAAGTACAAGGGTGGGAAAGCCCCTGCAACCCTGAAATCTCCTTTAAGGCTATTTTCAGGGAGGCATCACACTAGCAGAATAGACATTTGGATTCTTGGCTGTATGTAATGACAACTTAGTGGCTTCTCAGGGCTGAGTTTAAAAATGACAGAGAGGCAACATCGTCTTGGCGGAGGCGTCATTATCCTTGAGAGAGAAGACTTCCCACTAGATGCCAGCCTTTCGGGTGAATACAGCGGGAGTCTCTCCAATTGAGTCCTCAAGCTTAAAGCTTAAGCAAATCAATTTGACCAGAGGTACCGACCAAAGGATCTTGCTGAACGCAAGCTGCGCTCTCCTACCTAAGCAGAGGAGCCAGACAAGACAACGTACGATTCGCTGGTCGGTGTAATCGCCGCTGCTGTACGAGGTGGCCAGGGTGGAGGAGCACTTCTCGGCGTACCAGGGGGACAGGCCTTGCTGCGAGGCGCTGCTGATGGAGATGGTGTAGATGCTGTCCGTGTAGCCGTCGCAGTCACAGTTATCGCCCTGACGCCCCCCGTTCCCAGAAGCCCACACGAAGATGGAGCCCTTTCCTTGTCTCCCCTAAAGGAAAAGCCAGACTACATCACATCTGTCATCTGTTGGGATCACTGGAACACCCCAGTGAAATCCCCCACAAATACATGCATGAGGTTCTCAGAGAGAGTTATTTGGAGTCCGTTTCCACTCTAGGTCCTCCAGCCTCCCTGTGGGAAGCCTCAAGAGACTGCGTAGGAGAAATCCCTGGGCTGCGACTCTGCCGGTCTTCCCTCCCCTGGGCCCTCCCTGGCATGGGTCTGAGTGAGTGCTTTTCTTTCTTTTCCTTACTGTGCAGGTTCATACTCTGGCCTTTAGCACTCACTCATATTTTTGCACTCTTCCCTTGGCTTATGTCACCGTGTTTGAATCTTTGAACTTCCTCTCTTTCTTCCTGCTTGCATCTTCTGGCTGACTGATTGACAAAATCAGGCATTATTCAGATCTGTTTTGCAGCTGCATTAAAAGGGACTCTTCAATTGAATGCAACTCGTCAAGGCTACTCTTTCTATGACTTCTCAATATGTGCTCTCCAGAGTTTCTACTTTTGTTTGATCCTGTGCAGAACGAGGCCTTAGAATCCTGCTAAGAATGCAGTAAACAGAGCAACACCAGCAAGGCACAAGTCCGCACCAGGCACGTACAAAATGGGAAGTAGCACATAGCTATATTTTAGGATGCATTTTCAGAGAGTTGAAAGAAGTCTGGGTAGTAGTGTCCCTAGTGTAAACATCCAAAAGCAGCAGGAAAATGAGAAAGGACATATCCAGAGTATTTCTTAATTTTATTTGTTTATTTTCTGATTTACTTACTTGTGTTTATTTTTTAATTTTTAAAAATTTTATTTCCAGAGTATTTTTTTAAAGTAAATATTCTAAGAGTATAAAGAATCTCTGTTGAATGTTAGACCCAAATGGGGAAAACTCTCTTAACCCTTAACTTCTGTCCCTCCGAAGAATGATTTGGCTAAGTGCATTTCAAATTGTAGGCAACGACAAGAAATTCAAAGCCATTTCTTTCCATATAAGCTGAGTGTTCTTCCCTTTCCTTCATATCCAAATGGTCAGGTTTCATTTCAGGCGGGTCTGTGTTAAGCATCTTACCTGCTTGACACCATATTCAAAAGCCTTCTGGGCCAGTCGGCCAGGCCCCTCCACAGTTTTCCCGTCATCATTAGGGCCCCAGCTGGCACTGTAAATATCCACATGTCCGGGATTGAATCCAATTGAACTGGCTTCAATAGCGTCAGTCACAATGCCATCCAGCATTCTTATGCCTGAGCAGTAAATCACACAAGAAACAAGTCAGTGGATGTCAGTGTGTACATGTCGAATGGTATAATGCTCTTAATATTCATTTTATTTTCATTTTTTTAATACTCATAGAAGACTCTCAAAAGAGTTAAAAACAGGATAACCACTGGAGGTCTCAAGTGCCTGTGATCAGGCTGCTATGAGCACAGAAGGAAGATACAAGTCACTGCCTCCATAAGCTTTGGTATCTGCCCTCTAGAGATAACTATATGCACTAAGCAGGGACCATGATCTTCACTAATTACAAAATGTCTCCCCTCCCTTCGCCACCCCAATAACCTGAAAATGACAGGACAGCTTTTGGAAAGAGGCATCAAACAGCCCTCCCTTGACCTGTCTGTTCATGACTATACCACGAACGACTGTTGCCCAGCCTGTGCCCTACGAAGGATTCTGTATGGGACACTGTGTAGCTTGAAAAGATCTACCCACAAAAGGAAACTAACAAATAGGGAAAGAACTCTTGTTTCTGAGCACTGATTAAAAATAACCCAGAGGCCATTCTTTTATGTGTTTGCTGAGAAACATTTTCAAGGAACATGCTTCCTTTTCTTCTAAATAATCTCAAGGATGAAATCATTGCCATGGATTTTGCTCCTGAGGGGGAATCATTTTTCATTAGGAGAAGGCAGACGTGGTAGCTCTTTGTACTTTCTAACAGGCTGTCACCTGTCATCAGACTCATGTATTCAAGAGCCAGGAAGGCAAAAGCAATTTAGACTGATACAGGCAACTACTGGGTTATTCCTGGCTTCAGGCTGATCATGTAGTAGAGTGCACAGCCTTATATTTGCATGCTATTATTTACTATGGAGCATAGGTAAAAGAACATGCAATTAACATAATTAGCAGAAGTCATATTGATTAAAACAAAACTGGTTAAAAATTTATTTTGGAAAAAAGAAAAAATCCCAGCTCCACTTACTAGCTGTGTGATCTTGGGCAAGCCACTTAACCTCTTGTGCCTCAGTTTCTTCAATTTTTAAAATGGGGATAATAGCAGCTGATGTGCCTTGAGGATATACTATATGCAGCTACCATGCTGAGGCCTTAAACATATGCATTCCTCTATCTTTAGGACAACCATTTGAGATGCGTGCCATAATTTTCCCCATTTTACAGGTGGACTATAAGTCCAGAGAGGGACAAAGACTTGCTCAGGGTCACACAACTTGAAACTGGGGAGGTGGGACTTGAATCCCAGAAATGTAGCACCCAAATCCAACCTGTTAACTTACAGAGTACACCACCTATAATGTGTTGTAGAGTCAGTGGTGCCTACTAAGTGAAAAGTATTATTTAAAAATGCATCTGGGGCTAGATCATCAAAGGGTGGAATAATGAAAAAAATCTCAGTAGACTTGGAATCAGAAGTCTTGTGTTTTAGTTTTGCACTGCCACAAACTAGCTATTACCTTGAGAATCTTCCTTCTGATTACTCCTCTATAAAATGAAGGGATCAGAAGATTCTCTCACAAACTATAGCTAGATAGTTCATCATGCCTTAAAAAGGGAAGTATTTCTCTAGGTGATTACCTGATTTGTGCTCTGGCTTCATTTTTTAAAAATTAACACAGCACTTAAAAAAAGGGGGGATCACACAGCATTTTGACAATGCTGGTATCAGAGGGATCAGGAATGACACAAAATGTAATAGTGTGCTGAATTAGGGAGAGATTCATTATATGTGCCACAATGCGTGTTCATTTGATTTCTTAAAAGGAAGTCATAATCAAATTCAAGGTATACTTATGCAGAGTTTAAAGGAGCTTTACTGTCATTGGCATATTCTACAGATGATCTTTTCTATTGTAGCTTGGAAAACAAACTAAACTCAAAGTTGCTAGCCTAACTGTGAAAGCCCAAGGTAGGGATAGTGAAAAGAGGAGAGACAATGATTATATTCTCTGTGAGCCCCTGCCAGTCCACCGTCCACCCATCCTCACAGGAACGTGGACTGCATCATTGGGTTCTCTTGCCTTCCCACTGGCATCAGTCAGCGGGAAGACAGCAGCAGGAGGCTGGGGGATGAGGGGAGAGTGAGGTACTCATTCCCTGGGATCCTCCTTGCCTAGAAGAAGCCCTGTTGTTGCACTCAGGGCCACAGCTCCTGTCCAGTGGTTCTCTCCTATGGCCCCAACTTTCTCCAGTTGCCACTGACCTCTCCTTCCCCTTGCTCCTTTAGGCCTAAAGGTGATAACATCTGTCTTCATTTGTTACCCCTTATTGGTTTCCCTTTACTCTTTTTTTTTTTAAAGTTTTTATTTTAATTCCAGTTAGTTAACATACAGTGTTATATTAGTTTCAGGTGTACAATATAGTGATAATGTCCCTTAAGTCTTGTAAATAATTCCTCTTTTACATTGCCCCAATGGAACTTAGTATGTTTCCCCACAAGGACACAGATTCTAAATCTGTGCTGTCAAAGATAACCTTTGGCTTCTTCATGTAACCAGTATGTATTCTTTTATTTTCTTAAGACAGTTATTTGCTATGAAATGAAGAATGACAGAATTGAGAGGCAGGGAAAGTCTTTGCCTAAATTTACCTCCTCCTTCTGTTCCCTTAGCAAGCACTCAATAACAAACCCTTGTAAATTAGCACACAGAGAAAATTAGCTTTGGTTCAAAAGCTTTTCAACATTTCCATTTTTCTCCCCACAAAGATGTGTAGGCTATATTCAGCTATCATTTTTTAGGAATCCAGACCTATTGATTTGTTTGCAAATCACACTTAAATCCTGAAGCATATTTTACATGGAATTCATTTCTTCCTCTGGTTGTTGAAAGCCCCCTTCCCCCCTTATTTACACCAGGTGATGCAAGACTCAAATTAAAGTTCACAACTCTAGGAGCAACCCTCTGCTTTACCTCCAACTTTGGAATTGTATGCAACTCCGACCCCACACTTGTGATTATTTGCTTGCATGGCAATTTCTCCTGCACATCTGGTCCCATGTCTGAAGATTAAAAATAGGAATTATAAAACATAAATGAGGGCAAGCTGTCGTTTGCACATGAATCCTTGGTACGTGGCCACACCAGCTTTTTGTCAGCCTTGCTGCCGGTTCCCTGCCCATCAGTATTAGATGAAGTGTAGATGTCAGATGATACAGGTATTCGAGCCAAAGTATGTGATTCACTTTCCAGCTTCTGCCACTGACTAGTGGTGTGACGCTGGGTAAGTTATCTGTCCTCGAGGGTTTTGTGGCAACATATGAGATATTGCATGTAGGGCACTTAGAATGGCGGCTGGTATAATGATAGAACTCGGGAAGTGTTAGCTATGGATACTGTCATGAGCAGCTCTGACACTTTCCGAAGCCGTCTCAAAGAAATGACGTCTGCTCCATACGTTTTGGTGAAGTTGCTCCTCACTCCCTGTCTAGTGACTTCCTTGGATTAGGTTATCCTGGACCAATCCTAGTAGGATAAGTAGAGCAGAATTCTCCTCTCAAGCTGTCTTCCCCTCCTCTAACCATCCTCCACCAAACTAAAGCAACTGAGGGTTTTCTGGTACCAAGGAGAGTTTGAGATTTTAGCTGGTTAACTGGGAAACCAGGGTCGTCCTGCAACTCTGACTGGGGCCAGAAGCCTGAACAAGACTGGTTTTGCCATCAGGCAAAGAGGGTAATTGATGATTTCAGAGTATCTGGAGGGAAAAGTCCATCTCTAAAACAGAGCAGAGTCCACCATTCAAGCATCAATTCTGAAAATCTGAGGATAATAATCTTTTCCTATCCCCACCCCCACCCCCGACCTTAGGAGGGTCAATAAGCCAAGAGAACTTTAATGTGAATTTATTTCATGACTTCATTCTACTGTGGAAGCCCCTGAGAGCCATGGAGAGGCTTGTTGGTGTTTTGGAGGAGCTGACATAGGAAAGAGGGGAAGAGTTAGTTCTGAGCAACACTGTCAGCCACCTAGTTTTAGACATCACTACACTGGACATCTATTAATTTAGCCCAGCAGGGAATATACAAATGCTAAATTGACTATCCAAAATAATTCTTTTTCACTTCTCTCTCTCTCTTTTTTTTCCCTAAAGTACCAAAGATGATTTCTTGGTCTCTTTTTACTAAAGGATGTTTCTGTTTTTTCATGTTAATACTGGAGAGGAATCCTAAGTCAGAACAATATAATTATCTTTAATTCAAAGTCTTTCCTAATGCAGCAGACATCTGCTGCTTCTTTTTTTTTCTCCTAGCATTTTCTCCATAAGGGAGGTAGCTTTCTCTCACTCCTTGTGAGTCTATCATGAGCCTCTTCTTCCCAGACAGCTTTCAAGGATTGTGGCATATTCTGGGGAAGAGAATCCTATTCTCTCTCTAGAATCTACAGCTTTAAGTTCCATGAGCCATGTGGATCTTGCTGCCAGGCAAGATTTTTTTTTCTTTGAGAATGAAGCTAACTGGAGGCAAGTAGCTAAGAGATGGAGACAGTGATTGGGGTCCTAAGAGCATATTATTTGAGCTCCTGGATCTTGGAATGCCTGAAGCTAGACCATCCCTTGGGTGATTTTTTTTTTTTTATCCCCATTTTACTTCATCTTTGAATTAGGATTCTCTCACTGGCAACCGAAGCTGCCCTGACCAACACATCCATTCTCTGAGAATTGTGTGCACATCGAACACATAAAAAGAAACTTATGCTTCCTTGATGGATTAACTCTCTTTGCTTTTGTAGAAGGAGAAACTGAGTTGTCCCGCTCTGGAAAGTGTGTTCCTAGAAGTCACCACCACCTGTATTTCCATGTACACAGGACAGGAGATAGGGCCAGGATAGCAGAATCTCCAGCTTGAGCCAATAGAATCAAACTGTTGGCAGACATTCCCAGCACAGCACCTCTGTCCTAAGAATGATGCAATGTGACACTGCCTATGATTTCTCTCTCTTTACATACTGAAAATTATTTTCTTTAAGGGTGCAGTAGAATCACGGTACAAAAAAGATTGATATTTTTCCCTTCTCTTACCCTCACTTCCCACCTCCACACCTTGAGAAAAACGGAAGGCTTTATCAAAGTGGTACTATGTCATTCTTTGTAGACCTGCAGCTTTTTTTCTTTCTTTAAATTAGTCTCTGAGATAAAAGAACCCTTTATTATCTTAGAACAATGGTAGTAACTGGCGTTTAAACAAATTGATTTTTAAAAAATTATTCCACAAGATAGTTTAAAGACTACTATTATCCTAGTTAAAATACCCTTGTCACACATGTTATTTAACTAGAAAAATAATCTGTAATCGGTATTGAAATTCTGAATATAGATTCATGCCAGCTTAATAGTAAGAGTTACCTGCTCTTTTGAGATTTTATTATTTAGTGATTCCTCTTTTGATTTGCAGAGGAGAATTCAAATGAAGCTTCTATTAATCTCATTTACATAGTAATAATGAACAGAAGCAACACAGATAGTTTGGGGAGATAATGCCCTTGGAATTGGGAGATAATAGGTCTCTAACTGCTATAAAGTCCAAGACGAAATGGAGCCATTCATTTTCTAAACCTAAGGGATTTATTTCTGACAACATGCTAGAAGGGCAACTCTATTTTTTATTATACCTTTTGATAAATGGTAGGGATGCTACCTTTTTGGTTGATAGTCAAGAGGACCCTGAGAGGTAGTTACTTATTGTGTAATTTTCAAACAGCAGATTCTGAATTGGCTCAGAAAATTGACTTGTCTCTGTCTCTGCTCCTCTCAGATAGTATTGTTCTTGTCATGTTGATTTTTTACTGAAAGTAGATCTATCTTAGTTGCTAAATGTGAAGGCTTGATGATGATGATGGTCATCATCATAGCAAATACATTGCAGACACTATACAAGCCAATTACATATATTACATATAAACTCATTTAATCCCCGTAATAACCCAACGAAGTAGCTACTATTATTATTCCTTTTTAATAGATGATAAAACTGAGGCACAAAAGCAGTTAAATAATTTGATCAAGGTCACCCAGCTATTAAGTGGCAGAGCTAATATTTAATCTAAATCTAGCTGCAAAGCCTATACTCTTAGCTGTTTGGCTGTGTCACGTTAACTCTACACTATGTGGGAGATCCATGGCAGGCTATGCTCTGGAAACTCAGAGTTTTCAGGCACAAAATAAGTACCATTATATAGGGTACTTCTTTGAAGGCTTTGGAGCTCTGTGAATTGGGGAAAATGTTGAATTGGCTATCCAGTCTTTTGAATACTGGATATAAGACTCCTCCTTTTGGGGGGAACAAAAAGGGAAATCTGAGTTCCCCCTTCTCTTGAGTAGAGAAACTCTAGAGAATATCATTTTACCAAGTATTTGGCTATCAAGCAGCCACCACACAATTTATCATCCACATTGGATCCTGAGGCCAGACCTAGAGGACACTGCCTAGAAAGAAGGCTAGCACCTCCAGCTAACAGTCTCCTCAGCTGCACCCATATGGCTGAGAGCAGATTTCTCTTTTGGTCTTGACCAAGGAGGTGGAATGACAGTTGTCATTTTTACTTTATTCTAACTTCTTAGAATAAAGTGCCCCTTTTGTCCAAGAACTTATTGCCCATTTCCTTAGGAAGTTCCGTTTAGGAGGGTAGAAAGCAAGTGCATTATCACCCATTTTAAGAGACAAAATGAAAAATAGAGGCAGAGAGAGGTAAGTGATTTCCTCAAGGTCACCTTCTCTACTGATAATTGGCAAAACCATGACTACCAGCCAGGCTAACATTACAAGGTCATGGTCCAAAAGAGCACATATTCCTCCTGGCCCTGCACTGCCTTGACTTAGAAATATGGCTGAAAATTTGTCTGGGGCTCCTATCCTAAGTTCCTGAGATATCTAACTCTCCTCCAAGGGCACCCCCTGGTGGTTCTTGTTGTACTGTTACTGGAAAATTCTAACTTCTAGGCATTGTTTGTAGTTAACCCCTTTAAGAAATAAACCCTAGAAGTAAATGGTACTGAAAGAAGCAGTATCTTGGAACCATCCCCAAGCCTCCCCTTCTCCCCAAGGAGGAAATATACACCCAGAGGTTGAGGCTAAGTGCATGAGCCTCAGCTCTCTTCCTGGTGTTTGTTGGCCTTCTGGAGAGGGGACCTGTCCAAAGAAACAACTTTAGGTCAACATTACTGCACCAGCCACATGGGAATTCTGAGTGAGAATAAGAGAGAAAGGAAGAGGGAAAGAGGGAGAAAGAGAGCAAGAGAGGGAGAATTCAAATGACCCAAGTTGGGTAATAGTCCAAGAGAGAAAAAGCCACACAGAGAGAAAATTAACCCCTTTATGTAGAATCCTGCCATTCCAATCGTAGCAACAAACCCTAATTTTGCCTTGGCTTTGCTCTATTTTGGCACAAATCTCTTCTGGGTGGAGCAAATGAAGAAGAAAGTATGGAAGTCTTCTTGAAGTTATGAGAGATGTTGCAAAAGAAGACTTCTGACATGGGTATGGACACTTGAGGCCATGTGGCTAGAGGGTGAAGTTTCTTTGCAGCTAGGAAAAAAGGTTAAGAAGTCTCTTGGCTCTGGCTCTTTATTTGGCCTCTTGCTTTGTCAGTTCTGGCTCTTGGCCTCCCTCATCACATTGTGGTTGCTAGGGAGAATTATTTTAGGAGTCAGAAGATACTCTTTTTCTCTTCCCTTTAGCTTTACAATACCCAGCAGAAACTCTGGGAGAGACTACAGACTCATCCAATGCCCCCAGAAAAATGTGATGGATTTGAGGGCCAGGCCTCAGAGTACATCTCTGTTGCCTGGTATCTGGCCATACTTTGCTGAGGGAACTGGTGAGCAAGGTTGTGGCCACCAAAAGAAGTCATGGGGATTTGTTATCTTTGTCCTCTCTTTTTATTTCCACAACTAACATCAAATATGTTGCTAATAGGAAAGGATTCATAGACGAATTAGGGTTGGAGAAGATGGTCTGGAGGATTTTACTCTTTATGACCCAAACATTCTTTCTAAAGCTATAACTATTCAGTACCATTTGAAGGGAGCATTTCATAACATAGAAAGAAAGCTTAATTAAAATATGACCCCATAAGCCAAAAGAAATACAAAAATAGAAGCATTGGTTTCTGCTTTAAAAGCAACAAAATATTGTGGTGTGGATGGTGTGCATGAAAACTTTTCTGAGAGCTGAAATGTGGATCATATTTATAGTGTAATTTTCTCAAATAAGATAAAAGCATTTTAAAGTACATATTCCACCCCCCCATCCACATTTACTCACTTGTTCTCATTTGTGGGATCATAACGGGGAAATGGATCATGGTCATTATCGTTAAAATCATAACTAGCCTCTGGATCCTAAAGAGACAATAGAAATAACCCTGTAGCATCATTAAAAAAAAAAAAAGTAGCACTTCCCAAGCCTTCTGCCCCTACCCCCTCCATCCTGGCTGATAGCTCAGAAGTCTGCATTTCAGAGTTTCTGGCCCAGTGGCTGATCATTTATTATACCCATAAACCAGGCATAAATGATGTACGTAGGAAAGTGAGCAAGCATCCAATTCTCAGTAAATGTTACCAAACCTGTATAACTCTCTGAAGCTCATAGGATACTGGAACCAGAAGGAATCAGAGTTTACTTAGTTCGACCACCTCATTTTTTAAATGAGAAAACTGAGACCCAGAGAGGTTGAATGACTTACCTAAGCTCTAGAGCTAGTTAGCTACACTTGGACACTCATCTCTCTTACGATTATGGGTGCAAATAGGTGACTGTGGGGTGGGGCTCAGGTCCACAGTGATCTCCTTCAGCCTTCCCAGTTACATGAAATAAACATGTAATTTAATTAAAGACAGTGTGCTTGAAATTGAACACAAGCTCCTAGGTCCCACCTCCTTTTCCAAACAGATTGTTATACTTACACATCTCCCACGTAGGAGTTTTGTTACCAGTATGGTCTCTTCTCTACATTTTCCGTATCTTTCAATAACTCCTACTTTCTACTAATCTTTCTATCTCTCCTTTTTCTTCCCCTATCTTTTGCTCTCTAGCTGGAGAATTTTGAAGGAATGGAAAGGATGACAAAACAAGGGATGATCTTAAAGATGAAACACTGATCTTAAGGCCTAAGATATCATGTAGTACTTAACAGACAATTAAGTAGTTTTCATTTACTTATTTTCCATTCATAATAAACATTTCTTTTCTCAGCTTGCCATTTTTACACTATGTGTATACATTTTGAATTTGCATGGAAGGATTCTCATTCACATAATTTCACAATGTCAGAGATATTCACCTATAAAGGATGTGAGGAAGAAGACTATGAAAATGAGCTCAGGCATTATTCTTGATTTGATTGCTTTAATGCCCCCAAATACTGAGTGATGTAGAGTCTGAATGGCTTTTAATAATTTAGCTGGTATAGATGCCTCCCCCCTTCCTCAACACACACGCTTTTGTAAAATCCTTGGCTCCACTGAATTCTTTCAGTGCCCACTGATACAAAAAAAGTTCTTATGTGCTGGCAGGAGGGTAAGAGAAAGAGCAAAACCGTGGCCCATGGTTCCCGGGGCCAACATCAGAGCAGTCCTCCACTTGAGAAAAGGAAAGCCTTAACAATGTGTCTTTTTAGACATCTCCCTAAGTTGTAGTCATGGGAGGGCCCAGACTCACATAATTTTCATAGATGTCTGTGTGATTCCACTCCAAGCCATCGTCCAGTACTGTGATAACAACTCCTTTGCCTGTGATGCCTTTTTGCCAAACAGGTATCACATGGAGATCCAGCTTGGGCAGGGCTGCAGTCATCCTAGTATCTTGCTGGTAAAGAAAAACAAAGAATTGGTAAAATCATGATTTACTTGCTGCAAAATGAGAAGTGAATCTCAAGTCTGGAGACCCATCTTCCCCCGCCCCCCCCCGCCCCCACCCAGGGTCACTCTACTTTTTAGAAGAAGGTGAAATAAAAAACAAAGTTGATGGTAGAGCCAAGTGAATCATCAGAGTACTGTTCTTTTCCCAGTTGTTCCAATGCAAAATCCCCTGAAACGATGAATCGCTCTATGCCCCTTCTCACTGAGCTTCATAGCTTCTAAGAAGTTTATCCCCAAGTTTCATTCATTTATAATGACACACTCAAGCTTTTTATCTACCAGAGTTTTATTTGGTGTCCCATGTTCCCATCTCTCCCAAATCCTAAGCTGTCCTTGCCACACTGAACCTACTTTATATTGTCTGGTTCATAGTCATTCATGGATGTTTTAATAACTTTTCAAAAAGCAGGACCTGGAATGTCTCGGAGGCTGCCATCTCACCAAGACTTGCAATTTAATTGCCTATTTCCAGGTATGAGTGATGTATTTTTTTTTTCAAGTATCAGTGATTTAGAGAGGAAGTATCTATGAGAGGAGATTTGGAGTTTTGCTTTTCAGATAGATTTTCTGATAGTTACAGTGTGTGGGACTACAAGTGAGAAGAGCTGGACAGCAAGGGAATAGAGAGATGAGCACATTCCCAAGCATTTGAGGGAGATGCTTTAGAAAAGTACCAGGTTTCTGGTGAAAGGGACAGTAAGAAATTTATAAATAATAACAGCCAAAAGTGTCAATGAATGAATTTCCCCTGGCTGATTCTCCTTGGAAAGAAGTAGGGGAAAACTTTTTTTTTTTAAGGATGTCTTCATTCACTTTAGAGTGAGCCCATGCAAGTGAGGGGAGGTGCAGAGGGAGAGAATCTCCAAGCAGACTCTCTGCTGGGCACAGAGCCCTACATAGAGTTGATCCCACAACCTGTAAGATCTTGACCTGAGCTGAAACCAAAAGTTGGACACTCAACCAACTGAACCACCAAGGCGCCCCAGTAGGGGAAAACTCTTAAAAGAACTTACAAGGCCAACATGAAGCTAAATCACAGGAGGCTCTAACTACACATAGATTTTTGGCCAAAGCCAGAGAAGATCTCTGTGTCAGTTGCAAGAACAATCACACAGTGTGGTGGTTAAGAGTATGACCTCTGGAACCATGAATTATGGCCCTACCACTGGTAACCAGATGACTTTGGCAAGTTACTAAACTTGCCCACGTCTCTGTCTCTTCATCTGCTAAATGGGTATAATCATTGTATCTACAATATGATGTGAAAACTAAATGAGTTTATTCATGTCAAACAGTTAGAATAGTATTTGACATACAGTCAATACACAAATGTTAATGAGTCTCTTCTACTGCAATGAACAAGTATTGCCTAGGTTAAGAGAATGTCAAGAGGAATCGATCCCTTTTCCCGTCCTTTATGCAACAAAGATGTCTAAGCCTTAACTTATGCTTGTCATGAAAACTTATCTTCCATAGTATTCTCAACAACAACAAAAAACACTTCTATCAACATGTATACTGCCATAGAGGCTTAATATTAAAATGGAAGGGAGAACACTCTGCAGGCAAGAAGGGACACTTAAAATTTCTCTACTCAGGGGGCCCTGGATGGCTCAGTCGGTTAAGCATCTGCCTTCAGCTCAAGTTCAAGTCATGATCTCAGGGTCCTGGGATCGAGCGCCGTCTCAGGCTCCCTGCTCAGCAGGAAGTCTGCTTCTTCCTCTCCCTCTGACCCTCCTCCCCTCTTGTGCTCTCTCTCTCTCAAATAAATAAATAAATAATCTTTTAAAAAGATTTCTCTACTCAACACACACATACCAATGAGGATTTGGTATCTTAAAAGTAGAACAGTTTGCAAGTCTAGACATCTGCTTGTAGATGTCTTTTGTCTCTCCTTGTGTTCCTTCCTTTAGCTTGGCTCAGAAATTCTCACTTTTAGCATGTAAGAATTGCCACTCAGGGCTGTATATACTGAATCATGTTCACTGTACCCTTTGGATGATTTAAAGGTTCTCAAGAGTAACTGACCAAATGTGATTTTTGCCATGATTACTGTTTTGGAACTCTTAACTTGCAAGACATGATTCTTCTGCATTTGCTCCAGATAAGCTTAAGAGAAGAAAGTAACAATCCTTCTTCTCATAGAGGCTAAACATCTGTGTTTCAGACACTTTCACCTAGTAAAACAGGAGATCCAGATCATGGAAGATCCCATCAGCCCTAATCTCCAGGTAACATAGTCCTCTACTGAATTGTCTATCATTAAAAAAAAAAAAATCTATTTTGCAGATGTAACAAAGTAAATAGCCCAGGTCCTATACAGTCCTTCTGTAAATACTTACCAAGTACCACTGCTGATTCCACATTGGATCATTGAAGAGATTTAGTGCTGAGTCTCTTAAAACTGAACGTTTACTTCTCTCTTTTTCATACTGTTGTTCAGCCCATATTACCTACAAGGAGTTTTATAGCAAGAAAATCAGCAGTCAGATAGTCACCTCTGTGTAACCATCTTCCCACAAACTAGCTCCAGTACCCTCCCCATCAGAGTTGAGGCAGTTCAAAAATATTTTCGTTTGACTGCAGATCAAACTGGCAGCTCAGTGAGAAGAAGGCATTGCCACTGGGGAGATGAACATTTCCTCTATTACAGTAAACTGTACCTTTAGGGGGAAGGGAAGGAATCAGTGAAGTGATGATTCCCTCAAATTATTTACACTATGATTCCAGTGGAGGTAAAAGTTCAGCCTGCTTCCATCAGCAAATGGACCATAATACTGATTTTTTATTGCGGTCTTAGGGTTTTGTAGCTGAAAATTTGTCCATTTTCATGTAATGAGTCAACAAGCTAAGAGATTCCAGAGACTGCTGTTATGGTGCTCTTACAGCTTAATTTCTCTTTCTTTACGTGCAAAAGGTAGAAATTGCAAATGTTATGCCAGACAAGAAAGGTGCTGTGTCTTTGCAAATCTGAAACTCTGGCTCCCCTGTGCTTCAAGCTCCTGCTTAAGAGTATTTAATATGAGAAACAGATCCAGGGTGATGAATGAGTATTACTGACCATGCACACTTACCATTAATTTAGTCTCATGTATTATGCAAAGAGATCTGACAATACAAAAATTACCTTTCCCACATTTATGGCATAATCCTATTATACTTGAGACCCTGAGAGGGTGAGGGACTGCCTTGTGGTTATATTCATTATGAAATAATACCATGCTCTTATTTCACTGAGCAACATGACTGTTTCTTACCCAAAACATATTCTCTCTGTTGTACACATGATGACAGTCCAGTGTCTGGTGGGATGTTGTTAATGTGAGAATACTCATGAGTCAGATCCAAAAATAAAAACTAAAAAATAATTTGTTGCTAAAGGATAAAACCATCCACTAAGACTGTCCTGAATTTTCAATTAGAAAATCTATGGCAAACCTATTATAAATATTGGGAGGGACTTGAAAGCTAGACATTAGTTGCTATAATTTATTTTTAAAGAGCCTGTATGTTCAAGCTTAATTGTTTTGGCTTAAAATACCTCAATGCTTGTAATATACAGCCTGTCATCTGAGTTGGTCTTTGGAAGCTGGCTGCTAGGGAACAAGTACTAATCTTTGATAGAGAGAGTCACTTACAGTTGGAGATTTCATTAACAGACTTGTAAAGATAGCCTATTGCTGCATTTCAGAATGCTATTTTGAAAGAATATTATCCCCCATCAAAAAAAAAGCAATAAAATGAAAATCAAAAGCAATTTTTTAAAAAGGGAATATAAGAAGAGGCACTCGCCATCTGATCAGATAAACATTCCATTGTTGGAAACAGTGTTATGATTAATGTCATTAACTCCAAATCCCATATTAAGCTCTACAAGACCAGACCAAATGGAATAGAGGAAATTAGTGGTATCTTTCTTTTATGTATGTAATAGGTATCATGTACTTAAATGTAAATAATCCTTTTGATTTGGGAAGAGCATTAAAGATCATCTAGTCCAACTTTCCACTGCTAGCTTCTATGGGTTCTAGGATTTTTTCTAAAATAGTTATCTGGGGATAACTTTTCATAAGATTATATGGATTCTTTTTTTTAATGAAGTTATGATGGAGATTAAATTCTTAGCCTTTCTTCATTATCACTTGAGATTTTTGCTCCAAAATCAACTATTAAAGAAATATCTAAAGAAAAGAACTGGGTCATTAGTTCACTTTAGTGAGATACTTGTAGTAATAATAACAGGTATTTCTCCACTCTGTCCAATTTTCTTCTGTGAAGATGAGAAGGGAGGTCAGTTTGACTTCCTTGTGCATTAGTGTCAGGCATGCATTTAGGCAGACAAGGAAATCTCTTCCTTGCTTTGCTCAAGGACTAAGCTTAGCCAGAGTCTTGGAAGTTGTCCTACTTTTCACAGCCCATACAATGAGTCATCTGCTTTGGGATGGCAAAAGGAAGATTTCACCGGACAAGAAACTTTTCAAGTAATCTTGAGCCTCTGATTTGGTCTCACACATCTAGCCATTAACCTGAGTAAAAGCTAGCTATGGGTGCCTAGGAGCTGCGGTTCGCTGGCCATGGTCCTGATATAGTGTTCTTTGCCTAGGTGTGGTGGCTGATAACCCAGGCCCAGGCATTCCCTACCCTGATAATTTGCCTTTTTATTCTTCATTTTAAAATTCTATCAGTTTAAGAACAAAATAAATAGGAAATTATTTCACAGGGTTTATAAACTCCATGTACTTTCAATAGTTTTATCACCTTTCTGTCACTTATATTTTCTTTCTAGCGAGTTGAAAGGGTGTATCCTATCTCTCACAAAGCTTCCATAATTCTCTGGAGTGTCCTAGGTAACAGAAATCATGATAACAGAAAACAGGCCAGCCAGGATAAATTTCTACCAGTATGGCACATTCTTGAGAAAAGGCAACATTGTGTATGCAAATTTCAATACTCCCAATATAGTCACCATTTCTATTGATACATTTGCTGATCTTGAAAACAGACTTAAAAAATCAATAGGTACACTAGATATACATTCAAATTGTCCTCACACTATTTACCTATATTCATTCTAGACATTTCCTGCTCTTGCCTTATCATTGAATATGTATACAAACCAGGATAAAAAGAGATCTAATGCTTTCAGTAAAACAATACAATACTTACGGAAACATTTGGCTCATAAAGACATGGAATTAAAACTCACTCATTAGCACTAGTTCCCCATATAACCAAACCAAACAGAAATGGTAAAATGTGTTTTTAGTTATGCTGAAATTTATTAAAATCAATGTTCATATGTTAAATTTCTTTGGCATCCTCACATTAAAGTGCTCATAAATAATAGGCATATAATAAAAGGTCGTTAATTGATTGTACTGGCAAATATTTTTATTAGAGCTGCAATTTAATTTTTAATATTCATTTTCATGTTCTTTGGCTGGATTTGTGAGCTAATATTTTAAACATATATTTTTATATAATATATAAAATTTATTTAACTTAGTCTATCCAGTCCAATCCAGTTATTATTATGTGCCTTGTGGTTATATTCCTATAGAATTAAAACCCTATAGAAATAACAAGAAACACTACAGACAGATAATTGTGACCACAATAAAAGATAATCACATTTGCAAAGTGTTTTTTGCTCTTGTTGGAAATCATAAAGCAGATGAGTCAGGTTATTTGTTTGAAGACAAATGTACAACACTTACACGGTCATCATCAGATAATCTCTTAGTAATATAAAGGGCACTCCTTCGAGACCTTCGGGGATGGTTTTTATATTTGAATAAGTAGTGATTTTCAAGTGATCCAATCTATAAAGGAAAAAATATTAAAATAAAAATCCACTTTATCCAAAATAAGTACATATGGGTTAGATTGAAACCCATGCAACTTACAGACAGGCAATTTTTATTAAGCCCATTCTTTATGAGGAAGACACTGATAGAAGCCTTTGCTCTCTTGTCACTGTGTTAAGTAAGTTGAGCTTACAATATTATCATTTGGGCTCACTGTATACTTGGGGGCTAGTGATATCTCTTTTTCACAGATTTCAGGGGAACTAAATTTGTTTCTGTGTGACAATATTGTGTAGGTAGACATTTCTTTAAAAAAAAAAATACCCACTCTATCCTGTCAGAGAAGAATAATTTGTGGAAAGCTAGCAAACCCTTTGGGTACTCTGTATGATCAGGGTTACATTCAGCTAAAATGATTTGTCATTGTTATAAAATATAGCCATTGAAGCTATAGTGATAATTGTTATAAGCTACTAGTAGAGAACATTTGACTTTCCACTAATTCAAGGCGCTCCATACATGGAGCTGGGGATAGGGGAAAAGTAGCCCTAAGAAAAGATCATCAATGTTTAGCTCTTCCTCTGCTATCAACTGGTTTTGCTTCTGGTCACCTGTCTAATTCTATCTTTATCCTGAGGCCTTCAGGAGCTCAGGGTAGTGATGCTAAATTACTGCAAACAAAGGGAAAAATAAAGAGAATCAAGAAAGCACTATCAATCTTTTACAAAGAATTATTATTTTAAAAATGTTTGTTAGTAATGCCATTTTAGCTGGAAATGGCTAGAGAAAATATAGCACATGCAAATCATATGTAAATACAGATTTTCCCCCCACTATTTCTTAAAGTTTCTTGTGACCATTCCTTCCTTTCTTTGAAGATCCTACCAAGAATACTGATTTATTATTTTTTGGTTTGGGATTTATGATTTTGAAAGCAATTCCCATAATGAATGGTCCAGGTTTGGAAATATGTCTGGGGCTAACAGGTGAGAAAAGAAAAAAGGGATATTTTTGCTCTCTTATCCAATCTCTTTCCACACAGTTACCAGTGCTATTTCGCTGCCCAAAGGATATAGGATTAAGTACCCAGTTATTCCCTCCTTAGGACACACAGGATTTCTATGTTGCCCACAGTAGCTACCATTGCAATTCCACCTACTGCTCACACTCTCCTCAGATCCCAACAATTCCTTGCAGTTTTTTCTAAGCTGCTTTCTTTGTATCTTCCTTGTTTCCTACAATCTGTTTTCTATGCCTTGAGTGCCTTCTACAATCTCACCATGTTCTCCTGGCAATCTTGACTCTTCTTCCTAAACCTTCGGCAAATGTTTCCTCCACTGGGCTTTTTTTCACTCCTCAATTCATGTCCCTCTTCAATCCCTCAATCAACAAATATTGAGAATCCAGGAGCAACTTCTATTACAGCAATTACATGCAATTCCAATTGTTTGTTACTAAACCAATCTCCTCTAGATTCTTCATTCCTTGAAAGTTGCTTTTCTTCCTATTATTCCTCAGACCCTAACATGGAGCCTGGCACAGAACAAAATCTGGGCAAAAGCAAAAAGTCTTGTTTGGCTCCTGGGACACGGAGAAGTCAACCTGCGTATTGACTTTTCTGCTGGGCATTTTAAAGACAATTTGGCTCGTAAAGTTGGGGAATGAAGCCTCTGGCAAGGAGAGGAGTATTCCCCAGCGGATTCGATCTATGGAATCGCCAACGCCCACGCCGATTACTCATCCGTGACTTCAGCTGCATCTCTACAACCACCTCCAGAAAAAACGCGCCAAAATGTTTTACAACTCCCTCCTCCCCCGCTTTGAGGCACAGTTCCAAGGCAAGGGGCGAGGGCTTGATTCTGAGCCAAGGAAAAGGAAAGCTTAGATTAGAAATCACACCCCCTGGGGTTCCCCCCGGGAATCGCACACCTAAGCTGTCACTCTAGTATTGCCTTAACGCCCTTACCCTCCCCCCAGCTATCTATTAAACCAGCTCTCCCTTGGACAGGCAAGTTTTTATCACAAGCTGAAACCCTCGGGGAAGCTATTAGGCATTTGGCTGAATAACAAGAAGGAAAGAAAACCTTTCCCCACAGTCATTTCGGCAGCTTGACCCTTCAGGGGGACTGACCCAGCAAAGTTGTGAAGCTCAGACTTTGCAAGTTCCCGGTGAAGACCCGAACCTCCCAGTAGAGGCGAGGGGAGTTGGTCCCGTGTCTTTCACCCACCTCTTCTCTAGCCCCCTCCCCAGGCCACTCCGCGGACCCCCAGCCTCTGGGTCGTGAGTCCCGGCCTCTGGCGCTCTTCCAATGTCCTGGGCGTGCCCGAAAGGCCGCGGGCGGACATCGCCAAGCCTATTTGACCCCTTGCATCAGGATTTAGATCTGATGCTGCCATATTGAAAAAAAAAAAAAAAAGGAAACAGCCGGCTCCTGACGCAGAGACCAGCTGAGTCCCAGGGGAGAGAGCGCAATGCCTCTCCCGGGGGCGCTTGGTTGGAAAGAGCCTGCGTGCATCTCAAGTTCGGTGAACAAGCGTGGAGGGATTTTTCTCCCAAACCACGCGGGAATGGATTTAAATGCCAAAGCGGACGACAGCAAGAATAAGCTTTACCCAGCTGCAGCGGCTTCGTTCTGCCTGGCTGCTTCCAGCCCAAACAATAAATAATGCAAGCCTTCTTTCTCCAAGCGCGCCAGGGGCGAGAGCTGCAGAAGCTTCTGCTCTTTGCCACTGGGCTCAGGAGAGTGCGACCTGGGGCTTCACTTGGGAGACCGCGCGTCAGTCCCGCCAGTCCCCGTGGGCCCCAGAAAGTTTCAGGAAAGTGCAAACTCTTACCTGACCCAAAAGGTCATAGCCCAGCTCCTTTGCTATGGCCGAAGCTGCCTCCGGTCCCCCGGGGATCTCCGCCGCCCATTCATTTACAAACTGCCTCTTCGCTTTTACACTGTTCAGTGCACACCAAGCGCAAAAGAGAGCGAAAGCAGTACACTGCAGAGTCCAGGCTCTTCGCTCCATGGCTCACACACTCGCTTGCACACAAGTCGGAAGGAGATGGGGGAAAGAAGCAAGAAAAGAAGCAAGAAAGGAGAAAAGCCAGAAACACTAGCCCTTTTCACCCTCAGACTCTGGACCACTTCTCGCTCCCGGTGGCTCTGTTAAGAGATAGGAGGCGCGCGAGGAGAGGCTGGGCGGTGGCGAGCGCTCTTTGGTCTCCCGGCTGAGTGGAGCCCCAGCCCTTCCAAGCCGGAATGGAAATGAGTGTTTACACGTCAAATCGACGAAAGCCATCTCTTGACGTCAGATCTACCTGGACTAAGATCTGGATGGTATTCCCGGCGGGGTGGAGAAGCGGCTAAAATAAGCAGGGAAAGATTAAGGAAAGGAAGGAATCGTTTGCTGGGATCAGTTAAGTCGGCTCCCTGACTGACTGTAAATTCTGTAGCCATGAGAAACACCTTCACTTTTCAAAGAGAAGTGCCCCTATTTGAATATTACTACCAAGAACCAAAGCCTGGGAGTTAAAGTACACTTTGCCTTCCTCCTGTCGGTTTTCTTTACATTTACTTAATTATCTCATGGGTTGGGGGGCGGGGAGGGGGGTGAATTCTTATAATAGCCCTGTGGATATCAGCACCTGCTGTGAAGAACAGGGGTCTTTTTTTTTTTTTAAGATTTTATTTATTTATTCATGAGAGATAGAGAGAGAGAGAGAG